CTCTACACATGAATACATGATGTGGCAAACTTTGTTTCTAGTGTTTCTCATTCTTATTTTGTATACAATATGTGCTACTTTCTATACATTATAATATCAATAATAATATTGTAAGTGGCTTGGTGGAGGGGCGGTCGAACGCTCAATCTGCGGAAACGCATATGATGTGACGCGCATCGGATGGGTTACAAACCCGGGATTTTTAGCAACATATCCTTGCCACACATACACAAACACATGTTACAATCCTATCCACTTAAAAAAACTACAAACTCAATACACAAAAATAATTCCTACCGTAATCGCCTTAATCGCCGGGCTTTAGATCAATAAAAAAAAAATAATAATAATATTAATAATATGTTAACATTTTAAAATATATAAATRTTTTATTTTGAAATGTATAATATATATATATTTTTTTTGTAATTACTGAACCATAAGTTATAGAAAATGTATTTATTTTTTTTTTACTTATTTCTTAAAATGTTTGGATAATATGTTCAATAAACAATATTGTGATATTAGATAATTTATACATTAAATTGACGTAATTTTAAAATATTCTTTGCAAATTACTGAATATAATTTATTTATAAGTACGTAAATATATATATGGATATTGGATATTATTCTATAATATAAWGTATTATTTTTATTATGCTATGTTGGTTACATTTATTTGGCATAATTTTGGACTTTGGTACATATTGTACTGTTAAAGATTAATCCAAATATTTTGAAAATGTCATTGTGCATCTTGCATAAAAAATAATAATAAGCGTAAGAGAGAAAAGTATTTTTTGAATTGGGTACTACAGAATCGTGATTTTTCACATAATTGCAGTAAAATTATTTTGATTGAGAATTCATAAAATTAACTCCATTTTCATCTAAGATTTGAAATTTTGATACACTAATCTACAKGAAATTTTTTCCAATATTAGAAAAAAAAAGTTTGCCGGAAATTAAATTAATTTTTTAAGAGCGTTGAAGTTATAGATATTTAATATTTAACCGTAAATTGGCAAATTCTTATAGAACAGTCTATTTATTTTGGTATAATTCGATATACTGCTATAATATAACGATAGATACTTGACATTTTTACTAAATCATAACGAAATAACAAGGTATGATCACAACAAACTGAATTTCGTTCAGTTTATGCAGAATAGGGTGAGAGTAATCCTCGTCGTTTGATTGGCTTCTATTTTAACACAATTTATATCAATAACCAATGAAAAGCCGAGGAAAATAGTTTTATTGTAAGAACTCAAAGAACTGGGCATTTTTTACTTTTGGTATAAATATAAATGTATACATTTAAATAGATTATTATAAAGTATAAACATCAAAATCATTTATCACTTTAGAAAAGTTATACCTTAAATCCTTGATCTCTCATTTTTGTTACTGCTGT